TGTAGCTCGCACATTACTGAACTACACATAGGATCATATACGATGAATATGGATTACAAAGTATGTTTCAAATGTCACGTCTGGGAAAATTCGTAACGAACCAATTTTTTGTTCAAAATTTAACTTTTTTTTATTTGAAAAAAAATTTGTGAATACCGATTTTTTTATTGTAGATCGAAAGAGCACCCAATTTTGAACCAATGTGCACATTTTTTAAAACCAACATTTTTCAAAATTTGAAAAAGCGTGTATTTGGCCGACCACCTTTTTAAGATTTTTTTTAATAACCAACTACAACATGCTGGGATTTTATAATTCTTGTTCACTTTAAGAACTGATCTCAGTGAACATTTGAACGCGTTATTATAACGCGTTACACCGTTTTTTTTAGTGTATCGTTTACACTTTTATGTCGACACTTTTGTATGGAAGTTTTACACTACTTTTATGGTGTATATTTTACACTGATAGTGTATAGCAAGTCATGTATACCATTACACCACAGATAAATACTTTACACCAAAATCATTGTCCGAAATACATTGCAAAAACCCCAATATTTATGAAATTAATTCATTTTAATATTCTTGAAGATGTGATTACAAACATGTCCTCCATATTTCCATACTTCACACGACAAAAATTATCAAAAATATGGCTGCAGTGTATATTTTCCCTTTTTTCAGTGTATTGATTACACTGGATATTTTTGGTTGAATCGGCACACTATTTTCGGTGTAAGGTGTACACACCAAAAGTCTGATGTATATTTTTCACTACTTACGGTATTGGTGTATATTATGCTCCAAAATCCAGTGATTTATCTATACCATGCGTGTTTAATTTACACTAGATGATAGTGACGCACTGCGTTACTTAAATTTCGTGTATATTTTTCCTGTAAAATTTAATTTCAAGGTTTCTTTTACACTAAATATCGCAGTGTATTTAATACACCGAAATTTACACCAAAAAATGGTAAAAATACGTTAAATAATTCAAATTTTGCTTGAATACACCAAAATTGGGCAAATACACCGAAATTTTTTGCGATTTTACACTACTTTGCCCACTGAGATATCCCATTATTCGGACCCAGAGAATTGGGGCAATCTTTTTGAGAAATTGGTTTGATTTTTTGAAGAAGAAAATGAATGAAAACATTTGTGCAATTAGTTTTGAATAGATTTGGTGACCATATATACTACAAATTCACCGTAACTTTCATTCCACTTCGTCACATAAGCAATTTGAAGTAGCTTTAATTAGATAAGATAATTAGAAATTTCTTCTTTCTTTTCTAAAGAACCTTGTCAAATCAATATGGTTCTCTGTCACTCCCATGAAAATTAACATTTGAGTTTGACAGCTGCGAACTTTTTGAATTGAAAATGCTAAAGAATTTGTCGAACGCAAACAAAAAACTCTAATTTAATGAAAAAAATGATATAAGTACAAAACACTTCTTTGGAAGTTCCCACTGTAAGGCAACGCAATTTTAAAAATGTTGATGTATTTGATTACAAGCGTCACTGAAAATTTATATCAGATCATTTTCAGATCTGATGTGCAATATTGCGTCACAGTGGGAACTTCCAAAGAAGTGTTTTGTACTTATTTATATAAATATTCATTTATTTATTACAACAAACCACCAAGGCAAAGGAGCGCTGTTAGGTGCAGTTATTATTATGGATTATTGTTTAAAACGAATTAGAATTTTTAATTTAGTTCAGGTTGTGTAATCTTTCGACATTTTCGAAATATTACTTAGTGTAGCAGGCAAGTAATTAATTATTTACTTTCAGTTTTGATGGCTTCGATTTCGAATAAATCAGGCACTACTGTAACCACCCAAGAAACAAACCCAGGAATCTCATCTCAATTCAAAAAGCATTGTTTACATTTTTTACATACAAAAAACTTGAATATATGGCTAGCCTCACAGCTGTCTGTATGAATCATACATAGTTTACTAAAACATATGTCGGTGATTGGATACAATTTCACGATTTTATAAATATTGTCTAATTTATTCGGCAAATTATTATAATTATTATTAATATTATTATTATCACTATTATTACTATTATAAATATTAATAATAATATTGTTCATACAGGAACAGAGCTCTCACTAAATGTGCATATATGTAGCATATTTCAACGTCGATTTGACCGAAACCTTATTTTGAAAATAGATTTATTTATTAATTATTATATTATCAATAAATTGGAATGATATGAAAATAAGTAAACAACGTATTTATTATCATTGTAAGTTATTAACTTAAATTATTCTTGCTTCATTTGAATGTGTGAGTGAAATAAAAACACTATATACCAAAAAACACAAACAGCAAACATCGATTTACAAATCTTGAAATCTGTTTATGTATTGATGTTTCGTACAGCTGTATATGAATCGGTTGGAACATTTATGACCTCCATTTTTTAATAGCTAGCGAAGTGGCATAAAAAGTGGAAATAAATTTTATGAACTAAATGTTTTTATTATATGAACTCATGTTGAATATTTACTTATATAAAATTCCAGATAATGTTTATTCTAACCGATTCATAAAAAATCTTTTCATTTTGAATTAGAAGATTTTTTGTAATTTCTATGGAAAAAAAACATTTGAAATGGCAATACAAAATAATCGAATACATACAATCAATAAAAACATAAGAAACATGATACTTTGTGTGTTGATATAAATAAAGAGCAAGGGGAAACGTAAAGAATTTGGAAAGGAGAAACATTACATTATGTAGCAAGACTTTCAATCTATTTTTTCACGATATGAGTGAATATATTTTCTTCATTGTCAAATTTTTTCACATCTCATAATCATATTTTTAAAGTTATTTTTTATAAGTTACCTATTATTTTTTTGCAAAAATATTACATTTTGATTGACATCCTATTCTGAAAAAGATTACCATCAGTTGATTATATACAAACTCAAAACAGAGTTGTTCGAACTCACATCAAGTGAACAGTGAACACACACAAATGTAACACAAACATATGCGCAAAGTACGTAAAAAACTTTCAAAATGAAACAAAAGCCATTTGGCCAGAGTTGAATCATTTGTAATCGAATGTAAACACACACAGTTAGTGCTCACGCTGATACTAATACAAAAGCATTGAATAAGTAAACTGATCTGTAGATACAATGATATATTTTTTTACCTCGTCGAAAAATTATAAGTTATTCATTATTGAATATATTCAAACAAATATATAAATAAAATTTCGTTACAAAAATATGTTTGCTATAATAGGTATTTTCATAAATTCAAGTAATTCTAAAAGTGGGGAAAAATTCTCGTGAAATTTTTCAATTTCGAAAGATTTCAATGACACTACGATATTATCATATAAACTCAATTCATATATTTAACACATTCAAACTATTTGAATCTGGTCGTTCAATCACCTATATAGCAATTATTACTAGAGATTACTCGTTTACAAACATTTCGTTTGTGATGCGTAATTACGTTAAATTTTGATTTACGAAGTAAAAAAGAAATATATAGAAAAACGAAATGCATTCACTTTGCAAGTAACACATATGTTATTCTCTGTATAGCTGTATGCGTGCGTGTAAAGTATATATAATAAATCTGCACGGAGTGGGAACAAGCATAGAGAACAGCTGACTCTTATATTCGGGCTATTTTTGTATACAAGCAAATGCATGTATCAGACCAGTCAGTTGAAATACAGCTGTTGAAGAGAATAGAATCGTAGAAAGTGAATACCATACAATACAATAAAATACAAAAAGTTGTAAATATATAAAACAGATAAATAAAAACTGAAATTTGAAAATAATACAAGACCAAGTGTTGTGTAATTTAAATTAAAAATATTTTTATACTTCAAAATACACAACAACTCTTCTTATAATGCGTTGATTCATCATAAATTTAGTGAGTAATTTTTTACATTCAAAAATTCACAAATCATTCATCCGAGAGATCAATGTGAGTTCTGGATTTTGGAATCATCTACTCTTTGATATTTTTTTTTTGTTTTATTTAGGGAATGAGTTTTGCTTTTTCATATTTAAAAACAATAATAAATTTATTATAATTCTCTCTCTTAAAGAGCATTTAGTTAAGAAGTCTTCAATACTATTTCGTGTTAACTTTCAAGTTACATCTTTAATGTATTTGAACGATAGAGGAATGAGTTCGCATTGAGTATGCTTTAATTTTGAATTTCAACAATATATTTGAAAAAATGTTGCACCGTCTGGAAATTCAGACAACAATGACAATAATTAAAGATTATCTGTGAAACAGGAACTATTTACGCCAAAATCATATAGTGTTAATAAAATTGAGGTCCCCTTTCAGAAGTTTTTAGTTTTCTATATTTGAATACTTTGTATGATATTATTCATATTATTGTGAAGTGAAACATTTTTATTGGTTGGTCTAAATCATGTCTTCCAAACAACAAATATTTAAATTACGAATGTCAAATGAACTTCAGTTGATCAATTTTGCAAAAAAGAATAAATATACAGGGTGGCGCATATAATAGGGCCACTCTTAGGGGGTGGGAATTTTGAAAAACCCTTCGGGGATATGTTGGAGGTAAAAAATAAAAAATGTGACCCCTGGGTTTTTGACTCCCCGACCTGGGGTTGATATGGGCAGGATCCTAAAAAATTTCTCTCGTCATTCTGAACAACTTTGTAGTACATTATTTTTTGATCCGATGAACTTTTGAAAAATTTGGGGCACTCCCACCCCCCGGGGAAATATTCAAAATTCTGCTCAGATAGAATTTTTTTATTTTTTACCCCCAACATACCCCCAAAGAGTTTTTCAAAATTCCCACCCCCATGAGAGTGGCCCTATTATATGCGCCACCCTGTATATAAAGATATAATGATAAAATTTTCATTACATTTTTCTTCAACCATCATGAAGCTCGGCTAATATACTCGTGTATATATGAAAGGTTTAGTATGTCATACTTGATACAAAATCAAATAAAACATCTCTAAAAATTTGATTCTGGTACATGTGTTTTTTCTCAGTAAGATATACATCAGCAATTTGGTGTAGCCTTTTTCTTAAGATTTCTGAATTCCTTTATGTACACCCCCTCTATAGGAAGCCTTCAGGCGTTTGTAATAATGAAATTTTGCTTTTGGGCGCATTTAAAAATATATTGCATATGGTTACATCATCTTAAAACTTTGGGAATATTAATGTTAAATTTATTATATGTTTGTATCAGGAGTTAAAAGTTACCCAGAATTTACGTCGTTAAATTGTCCTTCGGTATGCACTCAATTCATTTTCTAGCATAATTGAATTACGCATATAGCATATTTTGTACATTCATAAATAATATGGTTTACCCCGATATTAGTACTCTGTTATTTTCTGTGTGTCAAAACTTCTAGGAAGTCTTTTTTCTGCTTCAAAATTAAGGCTCCTAAAGTATTACAGTGACATAATTATAAGAAGTATATTTTCAAATGCAAAATCCAAAATATAGAAATATAAAAAGTCAGTGCAGCAACGCTGAATAAATTTTTTTGAGAAAAATACATTACAGGTCGGTTTTAGCTTTATCATGAACAGTGATTAGAATGAGGCTAGCGATATATCGTGATACTATTGATAGTACGATATGAATACATTTCAATTTTGTGACAACAACAATTTGGCTCTTCAATATTTTCCCACAAATGTGGACTAAAATATCAAAATAGAGCTCCATATTTGAGGGAAAATATTAAATTGAAATGTCCCAAATAGCATGATATTCATATCGTACTATCAATAGTATCACGATATATCACTAGCATCATTCTAATCACTAATCATGAAGAGAACTACGATAGTCTCAATAGTCAACGCCACCAGGCGTTGGTTCGATTTTTTTAATTTCAGTAAATACCTTTTATGAAATGTAGCATTTTTTTCAAATCTGTTCCTTTAATTTTCATAATATTTATTTAAAGTATAAAATTTTCTCTAAACTTGAAAGCGCAAATGTGTTACTTAATTTCATTTTAACATAATGACGCGTCTATATTTTGAATCCACCTGCAGAAACGATTAGCTGTCATACATTTTCTTTTGAAAAAGACCACCCAAACAAATGTTAAATTATGCTTGCATTTAATCAACATTCAAATGAACGAAAGTGAATAAAAAAGAAGCTATACGAAGTCTTTTTTAATGAAAAATCTTAATTAAGACAGTCAAATCTCAACTGATATTCAAAGCGTCAAAAAACATTAATTTCCGAAGATTAATCTAAGTGAAGAAAGCTCGATGAATTTCGATTATCCACGCTAAGATGTTATCCACCAAACTAGAAAAGTAGAAAAATAGAAGTAAAAACTAGCATAAACTTGCACAAAACGAAGCCCACTTCACACTAATCTGGGTACATTTTGTATGTAAAACTACCAAGAGAACCAACTTCACGCACTAGAAAAACTAGTTTTGTGGTTGTCCCCTTGATCCACGCCATCTCTGATATGAACCATTGAACATAATTTATTATTAAATCTTAAAAAGTAAAAACAATGGTTCATAGATAAGGTGGCATGATATTTATGTTTTATAAGGATAGTCTTAGGTTAAAGTAGTTTTAGCAATAGTACCTTACTCTATAGTTCAGTAATTTTTGGTGTAGGGCGGCGCCACTGTATGTACATTTAAACTAACGCCATCTAACGTGTTTGATAATTTTTTTCTCCAAAAAAGTGGCAATATAACCCGTCTTTGCTTTTAGTCCTGGGACTGAAGTAAAATTTAGTTGTTCCACTTGATCTTTAATCACTTATTTTTTCTTTCAATTTTTCTATAACATTTAGATCACCGAGAACTGTAAAAAAGTGGCCAAACAGTAAATATTTATGGACAAATTTGAATACAAATAACTGCATATAAAAACAGTCCGTAATCATTCTTACAGACACAGCAGAAAATTCACGAAGAAAGCAATATTTCAAGACAACGAAAAAAGCTAATGACGAATCATGATTTATTTTGTTTTTATATGATATTTTTATTTGTATAACTAGATACAATTTAATACTTTAGAAGGTTGCACTATTATTGCACTTTTATTGATTTATCATAATCACCCCGCCACTGAATCAGCCAATCTCAAAATTCTGAATTTTCTATTGGAATTGAAAAAGTTAGGATCAAGAATCAAAAATGGTTCCTCAACAGTCTCAAGATGGCATTACAGCGGTTTCACAATCAATTATTGAATCCAAAGAGGAAAGAGATTTGGTAACCGTAGATGATCAAGAAGGAAATTTAACAGTCTTTGGATCCCAGCAAGTAAAAGAGACTTCAAACACACCATACACCGATGCAACTCAGGTTAGTATTTTTTTTCTTTTGAATGGGAATATTAAAGTTGATTTACGTAAATATATTAATCAATGAAAAAACAAACTATAAAATGAGTTGATCAAATATTTCAACGGGTAATATTTTGTTCTCGGAAATATGTTTGCCAAGCTTAGACATGAAACACTTCATTAAAAAGACCTAGCTAGTTATAATTTATCCCCTTCTTGTCCTTATTTTGATGGGATGTTCCCAAATAATAAACTCCGTGTCCTTCATACTAAAATTCGTCTTACCTGGTTACAATTATAACAAATTTCAAATGAAAGAACAACCCCATTTACTTTTACTATAACATGGTTCCAAAGTACAGAGAGGGTCAAGTTATTCAAAATTTTGTCAATTTTGAGTAAAAATCTACTTCAAAATCAATGTATTTTTTTATATAGAAAAAAACTATTCTTATATAAAGCCAAGGACCCACTGAACTCGATTCTTAATCATTCTCTTGAATTCCTGAACTTGTTCTATACTAGTGCCTATAATGCACAGATTAATTTACATTTCAAACCTAAGAGGTAATAAGACGACATTTGAACAAGTTATGAAGAGTAAACATGCCAGGAATAAAAAGGATATTGGTGCGTCATCACGTAGAATTGCAAAAGTTTGAAACAAAGTATGTCAAAAAAATAATAATAATAAGGTACAGAAAAACCAGTGTAATGTAGTGTCTAATTCACAATTTGATAAGATCCGATAATCGAAAGGATAATAAACTCTAGGTGTTCCTTGAAACGCATGCGCGTTCTAGTTTTGAGATAGTATTGTCTGCTACTGAAAATTTCAACACAAATATAATGGAAAATTGACAACAACACAAAGAAAGAAAATTTAAGGATACTGGTCTCAAAATTACAAAAGTTCAGAAACGTTTATTCATAAACTATATAATATGAGATACCAATGATTCAAACAAAATATTTTCGATATTTAGAAATTTTGAAATGCTTTGAAATGTTTGTGTTTTAATTTATAATGCAACAAATCAACACTAATTCCCCAAAATATTACTAGCCTTTTGCGAGTTTGCAAGTTTGCACTACCAGTAAAAACAATATTTCTTCATTATTGCAAAGACTTCGCAAAACGCTCTCAATAAAAAAAAGTCATACGTTTTAAAAATAATTCGAACAATAACCTCAACTAAGAATTCGTCTCTTTACTGTTTGAGGACGCTGAGAAGCAGACATATGTGATGTATTCGACCACATAACAAAAGTGTTGGAGAAGGATCTATGTACAACTTTTGGATGCTTAACATAAAGATCAAGAATATATTATATAGAGAGACTCAAAAAATAAGCATAAGCTTATATACACAAATCTACTAGATATTTTGACAGATTTTGTTGAAAATGATGAAAAAGTGTATTTGAAAATGCAAAGCAAATTTTTATTAGTAGAATAAATGGTGTTTAGAAAGAAATGGTAGACCAGAGGGAAAAAAATCTAGTTTGATAGTTTCGACAGTTCGTAAAAGGCGATGAATTTTTTTCCAATGAACTCTTGACAATTTTTTCAACGTTAAATTCAGTTTGCATTTATTTTCATATCAAAAATATATAAAACAAAAATGTATTACATTCCATATCACATTACTTTTTCGAATGTAGCACTAATAATAACAACGCATTAATAGATATAAATATTGATCTCTACATGTTATGATGTTTAATATATATTCGGATCGAATATTGTTAAATAAAGAGATAAAGTGAGAACAAGCGTGTCTTTAGCAAAACACATTTTTTATCATGTACACACATACATATATAATTCCATGCAAGATGGAAAATAACATGAGGAATATGTATGGTAGTACGACGCCCTGGAATATCACCAAAAGAAAGAACGAAAGCGTCTGTATAAGATCAATGGCCGGCTGCAAGGATAAATACTAAAGTAATAAAAACAAGCCAAAACATCAACAAACGTAGGGAATTGGAATGATGAAAAAAAAAATTAAGCGAAACAGAGAACCAACTATATCAAAATGAAAAAGACGTAGTTTTTTCTTTAGTATGAGAGAGCATACATATAAAATATCTGTGAAGTATACAGAGCATCAAAAACAACCTCATATAAAAACACAAGAAAAAACTGACTCACACATGAACAAAATACACCGAAGCAAACAAATAAACAAACCAATAAGCGAATGAAACAAATTGTTTTCTTGGGCATAATATTTGTCTGTGATATGCCACAGCAATATACTAGGTAGAGAATCGTATATTTACAGTACGGTCTGAATACACATATACAGTAATGTGTTTCAAATGAACACATATTGTCCAACACAATATCAAAATTTGCAAGCCAAATGAAAACCAACTAATGTTTTCATTCTGTTATATTTTTTATAATTATTATACATTTTCATCTTGTTTTGTTTATTTATATTTTTCTAGTTTAATCTCAAAGAGTTAATATAGCCAAAAGAATACGAAAATTACAGAATTTATTAAATTCGTAAAGTCAATGACATTTAAAATTTAAATTGAAGAATTTTGAAAAAAAAAAAAAAATAATAATAATAAATAAAATTTACACTCCGATGCATCGGAAATAATTGTAAATAAAAAAGAATTAGATCTTCAACCTCGAGATTCCATGAACAAAGAAAAGTCAGAAAAGTATTTTCGCGGAAAATTCGAATTTTTCATCACTAATACAAAAGTTTCAAACTAATTTGTAAGTTGTTAAAATGAAAAGACTTAGATACGAAAGATTAAATCTTATACTATATAAATTCCCTCTCCCCTCTTACATACATTTATATTTTCTTTATTCTGACAGATAAATGGAGTTTCAATGATTTTTTAATCAATAAAACAAAATTATTTTTTTCAACCAAGTAAAAAGCAAAGTTTATTTCCTAATATGTCAGATTTAGAAATGTCAAAACAGGGAAATTTTCAATGAAAAACAGTAGCCATGATTCATTTTGGACGCGGAAGTATGTAATATTGTCGACCCCGTTCGTAGATATTGCTAGCTGGTAACTTGTATGATTCCGAGGTGTCAAATCTTTAATATAATCAAAAATACTTCGGAACTTTGAATTGAAAGGTGTCTTGCTATTATTATTAGGTGCATGAGACAAAAAATAATAACATTTCAAATATTTTATGCTACTCTTCAGAATACATATTCGTGGGCAACCCTGCTCGAACTATTTCCGGTTATATATCACCTGCAACTATATTATTTTCCAATAACGTAGTATATTTTTAGCGTGGTGCAAATATTTTGCAGTTTTTAGATTATCTTAATTGTTATTTTGAAGAAAAATACCCACAATGGTAGCTACGTTTTTAGTATATTTAATTCTATCAAAAAACGTTCACCTTAAATATTATATGCATTGTAGTAAGTTCAACAACTCTAGCTTCATGTTGCTAGTCTGTCATGTAAAATACTGACATTTCGTCAGCCATATGTTCAGTGCTTGAAAATAGAATTTAAAATAACCTCGATAAAATATTTCAAGTTCAGAATTTATACTCAATGATTTATCTATCATAAATCTCATCATTCCAGAACTTCAAGTAGTGATTTCAAATGCAGCTGCTACAATTATTGACTCATTTACTCATTTAATAGTAATATGATTTATTTTTCAGCAACACAACTTATTTCATACAAAATATTTTTGTAAAGCTATATAAATTTTTAATCCAAATGAAAGGAATAAAAAGTAAGACGCAAAAAACGTAAATACGCATTTTCATGCAGAATGCCAATATAAAGCTAACAAATGTAAACATTTGTAAATGCATTCTCGTAAGCAGCAACGTAGAAAAATAATAAGACAAAGACAGAAAAATAGAGCTCAAGTATATAATATATTAGGTATTGTGAATATGCTTCATTTTCAAGTATATATACATATACAAACAAACATCTATATATGTTTGTTTCGTTTGTATATGTGTATACGAATATACATACAATTTAATGTACATATACATACGATATACATTTATCACTTCCATTTCAAAAGTATAAAGACGCTCACATTTCAAGCGATAATATTTCACTGCGCATTTCGTGAAAATAGATGGTTTGCTTATGTGAAATTAATCCATTTGATATTTTGGTTCCGCATTTCATATTGGCAATTTCTCGTAACGGTAAACGACATTTCATCCCTACACTCGAAAACAAATTCATGTTTAGGTCCATAAAACTTCAGATCCTTAGTTAATAGAAAGTCGTTAGAAGAAGAGAAAGTTGTAAGAGCGACAAAAAAGAAAAATAATTTATGCAGAAAAAGGGATGAATAGCATTTTCCATAAAATATTATTTATTAAAAAAATCTCATCAGAAAATTCATTCAAAAACTGTTCGTAATGAATTCAAAAAAATTGTATTTACATGGAATTAAAGAAAAATTAATGAATAATTTTATTAATTTTGTTTATTTGTAGACAAAAAAGCACAGCCCTGGTCACGTGAAACGACCTATGAATCCTTTTATGGTATGGAGTCAAATCGAGCGTCGGAAAATTTGTCAAAAAACACCGGATATGTAAGACTCAGCTTTTTACTTTACAGCACATATAATCGTAGAAAAATTGAACGCGAATATTTTGCAATTCACTATATTTCATATATTTATAAGATTTTTTAAAAAGACTCCTTCACTTGCGCATATATTCCCTTTCTTATTCAATCATGAATAAATCCTGATGATTTCCTTGAGTGAAGATGTTTTCTTCCATAATTGTATTTCATAAATAATTTGAATGGACGTTAAATAGTTATTTCAATTAAATAAATACAAAAAAATATAATATTCTAGAGAAATTCGAGGTATGATTGAATAGAAAATGAAATGAACACAAGTACCAGACATTATATTGAGAAATTCTCAGCCAGCTGGTTTTTTATCATTATTATACTGATTACTAAAAATGGTGTGAATGATGTAATTTTTTTTTTGATAAGAATTCATTTTTTACAACAAAAGTATTCAAAAAAAGACCTATAAATAGATTAACGACGATTGAAACGTACAATTATTTTTATGCTTTTATTCCAAATATCTTAGGCATAATGCTTTGATTTCAAAAAAACTGGGAAGTAAATGGAAATCATTATCAGCTATTGAAAAGCAACCATTCATCGAAGAGGCTGAACGATTGCGTCAATTCCATTCGAAAGAATATCCCGACTACAAGTACCGTCCAAAAAAGAAACTACAGAAAGGATCAAAAGCTGCGACTGTCTGTTCTGCAACATCGAATTTCAAGAAAAATACTACATCGTCAAGTTCATTGTCCAACTCCAGCACAGATACGATTGTTGACCGCAAGCAACTCCATCACAAATACAATAGCAGTGGAAATCGTATATCGAGAAAGAAGAATACAGCTACATCAACTAAAATAACCGAAACAAATAAAATTGGCACAGGAATTCATTTGCAATCTATTTCTTTGAACAACGATCTAACAAATTTTGCTAATAATAAATTGCATTGTATGCTTGGCTATGATCTTATTCCAAATTCACCTGAGAGCGCCAGTTTTTTTGATGAGAACTCATTAATTTCCACAAGGCCAGACTCACTGGAGAATATTCTTTTCGAACCAAACAAAAAGATTGGTATCATTGATGACACCACTTATTGTGTTATGAACGATTTAGATTGTTTTGGAAATGAAGAGAATCGAAATCTTCAAATTGGCATTGATGACATGTATCAACAAATGACAGATATTGATGAAAGTAAAATTATAAAATCACCATTTGTCGATGACACAAAGTTATCGGAACCTAAGTACGCCTACGATATGGAAAATATTCATGAAATCCTAAGTGTTGATGCCAATCTCAATTCAGCCAGTCGTTCATATTTAAAAAGCAATACCAGTATGAATATGACAGCATGTAACAGTAATTTTTACAATAATTGTACAAGCACCAATTATGCAACAAACTTCAAGAACAATATAAATAAACCATTCGCCACTATCGATCCAAACCAGATATTTGTTAAGATGCCAATGCCTGCCATTGCAAATGAAAATGCATACAATGGTCGCCGATGTAGTAGCACTACTATGTGTGCACCAATTGGTATTAATTTTTTGCAAGATGAATTCACTACTGTCATTGCAAATGATTTTGATATGGGATTTGATTTAAACACCTATGACCTTGATGAGCAAAATAATGAATCCTCTAGTTCAGGAAGTCATCTTGCATTCTCTTGCACTGATCCGAACATTTTATCTGATATACCAAGTCGTTATCTGACTGCATTGAACAACATTCAAAATGAAAATATGTAGGTGAAGAAGAACATAAACTAACTTTCTTCCATTATGGACTCTCAATCTTTAATTTTTTTTTAGAAAAACAATATCCCACAAACAATGCAAGAGAAATGCATTTGCAAGAAGAAAATCAATGAACATTTTTAACTACAAATAATGTTTAAGTATTAATATCTTTATAAATATAAATATATATAAAACAAAACATCAGGCCCTAAGTGAGTAAATGAAAAAAAATTAAACTATATAACATGAAATGATCACACAGAAAAATTTGGCGTCATTAGTTGACATTACAACTATCAACCAGTGTCGGTAAAATTCTCAAGTGTTTCACTTTGCAGATTTTTTAATTTGATAAAAGATTGTTGGCATGATTTCCATCCATATGTTTGAAATCAGTAAAAATGGAGGGCCTCTCAGTGAAAATGGAGGGTGACACACCAAAATCAATACTCTGTTCTTGTAGCTTATAGAGTAAATGAATCAATTTTTTATACTTCGATATATTTATACATAAAAAAGAACAGACGAAAAGATAAAGTATGTGATAAAATTGTTAATTGATAACTGATGATAATGCATGTTTTTTAAATACCTTTTAATGGAACGAATGTAGATATTTGGACGATAGAAACCGTTTCGTGATTTTTTTTTTGTAATTCTCACCAATCATTACTTATTTCCTCGCATTGTGACATATTTTACTATAGATACTAGTTGGAACATATTTACTTTACAAACGGTGCTTTTTAATTCTGAGTAAACTGTGAAAATATCATCTATTCAGGAGAAAATTCATTTTACAAATATATTTTTCTTCCTTTTCTGATAATAATCTCATGCAGTAGGTTTAGTTTCAGACATTTGAAAAAAGAAAACAACAGAATATGCATGCCATCACACAAAAATAATTTTATAATCATAAATATATTTAATATAAATATTTATCAAACTTTTTAATGGTTTGATTTTTGTACATGATCGATAGTAAGTTCAATTTTTCTAAATCAAAAGAGCGGAAAAAAGTAAATTATTTACAAATTATAAAGTAGAATACTATACTCGATAAGAATGTCGAATTTTCATAAAAATACTGCCACATCGTACAGAAAATATTTGTGTGATAGAAGGTCTATCATCGTAATAAAAAGAAGGTTGTTATGTGGTACAGAATTCACTTTCAATTTCAAGTGCAGTTCTTGTTAACTTTTCTTATACTATATGAAATTTGAAAAAAAAACCGTTTACACAACAGAAGTGAAACAAAAAAGTAATAAAATGGTTGAAAAAAGATTCCTATTAATTAATACAGAGAAAAATTTAAGCGTTGATACGTATGAGAGTGAGTCCGAATATTTTTGTTAATTCGCCGATTGCTACTAAGAGTTTTTGTGATTCTAAAAGAAGTCAGTAAATTTTGGTGTTTACTGGGGTGATCCAAATTGCAAAAGTTTGAGTAAACTTCGCTCCCCATATCCATCCGTATATTTGTAATAAACAGTGTTTTCTATATCGATTTCACTGACCCGTAGAATAGCTGAAAATGATAAATTCAGCCGGATATAAGAACCCAAATGCGTATTGCGACCGCATCTGCTGCTTGCGTTTCTCATATCTGGCCGAATTTATCGTTTTCATTTATTTCACGGATACCGATATCGATATAGCAAACATAGGATATACTTCATATTATAAAACTCTATTATGTAAATTATGGAAATCGGTGAATATTTTATGAAAAACTGATTTTTTGGATGAAAGTACATTCTTGTGCTCGCCAGAGTATCATTATTTGCTGCTGCTCAGCAAATAACTGAGAGCTGAGTAATGCTGAACTCGTACGACTAACGCATACGAAACGGATGCACGATACATATTCCCATTTCGCTTCGTATGTGCTGCCGTTGACGCTATTGCCGCTGCTGTTTCACTTACGCGTAAAATACAACGGCATCAACGGTAACACACTATACCAGCGAACATACGAAGTGAAGGAGAATATATGAGAGACTGAGAGCAAAAACAGCACGTCGCATTTCATCTCTTGCTTTCACTTCGTATGTTCGCTGGTATAATGTGGTACCGTTGATGCCGTTGTATTTTACGAGTAAGTGAAACAGCAGCGGCTATAGCGTCAACGGCAGCACATACGAAGCGAAAGGGGAATATGTATCGTGCATCCGTTTCGTATGCGTTAGTCGTACGAGTTCAGCATTACTCAGCTCTCAGTCATATGCTGAGCAGCAGCAAATAATGATACTCTGGTGCTCGCAGGAAAGAAATGTCAACGAAAACATAATAATAAATAATAATTACTATATTAATTCAAAAAAATATCAAACCTTTTTGAGAAAATGGAAATCATACAAAAATGTTTACAGGAAAACAACAAGACCAAAACAGCAAAATGATGAACATAAAAACTGATCTCGCGAAAAGTTTCCCTTTCTCCAAAAACAAGACTTCGTTCATTGATTTCTTTTTTCATTTTAACTCGGAAAATTCCAATGAATTTGTTCGATTTCAAATTCTGTGGAATAGTAACCAATTTTATACTTTTTTACGTAAATTCATATTTCATGTGAATTAAGGAACGAAAAATTTGTTTGTGTGTTTATCGTAAATTTTTGAATTAATCGTAAATATGATATCGTTTTATTTTATACAAATGTAAACATAATAATAAAAACAAACATAATGAATAGCAGGGTCTGTCGTTATCTGACGCCATCGTCGTTCATCCAACCACACACTAAATCGAATGTGTTATTTGTAAAATAAAGTGCACATTCCGGTTTTATGACTTTTATACAAAAAAGAGCGCTATCTTTGAATTTAGACATCTACTGAAATAGACATAAAAATGTGATGAAATCTGTGAAAGTTTCACGTCTTCATGATATCACACAGGCATGTCTCCATATTTTTTGTTATTTTTGTATGGAATGTGAGTCAAAAATTATTTTTATGTCAAAACTAAGTTAGTTCAGTTCCAACGGTTCAGTTTCGATTTTTCCATGCCAAATACATATTCTACTAATGGATTACTATTTTTGCGAATTTTAAAAGTGCTCAAAGTTCTCTATTTTGGTACTTTAGATGTCCAAGTTCAGATAGACAGTGTTGCTTAAATTTTTATAGACAATGTGGCTGACTACGGCCCTGCTTAAAAGCCATTTCTACGACAATTTATTTTGTCGCAGATTTAAAGAAATAAAAAGTATGGAAGATTTTTTTGCGTGAATTTAAACGGGCAGATCTCCGAAATTGTCACATGCTCAGATTTTAATAATATTATAAATGTAGTAGATTTTTTTTTAAATAAACGAGAAAAGAACCATGTTTATTCCTTTTAATGTGCTTTTTCAGCAGTCTTCTTGAGTCTGAATGCAGAAAAGAACATTTTAAATATTTCAACTAATGCAAAAGAACTTCATTTGGATGGCTTAGATTTCCACGCTTGTAGTACTTTGTCGTTGCCAATGTTGTACTTGGTGTAGTTACTGATGGGTTTATAGATGAATCTTGTGGTGATTGTGAAGAACCATCCTTAAGAATTGCTGCACATTTCCAATGTTTCAAGTAATTCACTATAATAAAATAAACGTTATAATTATTGTTATAAAGTGTATTTAAAAAAAACTATACTTTTCCACATTCGAACGGAACCGTCATCTCCTGAAGATGAAAGAATAGTGCCGGTTAAATTCCAAGAAACTCTCCAAACGGTACAACTATGATCAGAAAATCGTGACATAATTTGCACTTCCAGGCGAGATGTACCACTTGCTTCACTAAATATTCAAAATATTCCAAAGATTTTAACGTTTGGTGGTCAGCTTAATGTTAGATAAAAGGAGGATTATAGGCATAAATAAGCAGAGTTTATTGAATAGCGTATTGATGTTGATGTATAGTCAACTTTCTAACTGAATATTTTTCTCTCTCTTTTTTTTTTCATTGCAACGTTGAAAATTACTAAAATTACTCTCAAGTATGGCACTGAGTTTTATCGCAACCATATGCTCGGTAAGTGCGTTGACAGTTGTTTGTTGAGAATTAAATACGTAGCAAGTTACGAGCTTTCAATCAAAATAAAACAAACAACAATCTATTTATAATATAAAAAACTAATTCATACGGATTTGGCGGGCACCATTCGATCACAGGATAGGTAGTAGGGTGCAGCGTTTTTTTAATTATGATGAATAAAATTATGTACACTAGGGTGCCTAGTTTTTAAAAAAATATTATGTACACCCCCATAACCTATGTGGACAGATCCCAGGAGAACAGGATAGGTAGTCAATTTCCGGTCGATGTCAATTTTCGAAAAATCGTA